CCGCCGATCAGCTGTTGGAAAATCATCGCTATGCGATGATCGGTAAGCAAAACAGGGTACTGATCATCGCAAAGCGATTTTTCCTGTTTAAAACATCGCAATGCAATCGCTTTTGTGATTGCAAAATCTTTGTCGCTATGCGGATTCGTCGTTAAACGGGACACCCGTTAAGCGAGGCACCACTGTACTTTTCTCTGAACTGACACTCCTTTTCCTTTTAGTGATGTTAAGAACATGACGAAAAAAATCTCTGCTCTTTTAGCTGGCTACATGATTTGGTTGAAAGGGGGAGAGAATGTGTGCAAAATACTTACCTTAAAAATTCCCCAAATTTGCTTGCTTAGTTTGCCTTATGCTCTGCCTTAGTTACTCTGGGCCCATAACCTATTGAGTTTTAGTTTGGGGTCCCCAACCTTTTCCACCCCACGGACCGGCTGGGGAAGGTGGGGCACCCCCGAGCTCGTGCACATGCATGAACAAGTGCTTGCATGAGCATGCACTTGTGCATGTGCACACAGCAGCATGGCGCTCGCATGGGTGCACTGGAGTGTGCGGACATGTGCAAATCAGCTGGGTGGAGTGAGTGCATGCGGGGGGTAGAGCAGGAGGTCTCTCTCTGCAATCCGGTCCAGCTCAGGCCACGGACCGGCACTGGGCCATGAAGCAGGGGTTGGGGACCTCTGTTTTAGATGATTGCCGAGCCAAGAGTGGGGCAATGTTTGGCTTGTTTCCCTGAAAATAAGGCCTAACCTGAAAAAAAGACCTAGTATGATTTTCAGGATGCTTGTAATATAAGCCCTACCCCAAAAATTAGCCCTAGTCACGTGAAACCCCGCCCTTCACCATTGTCCGGCAACCAGAAGATGACATGAATATATTTGAATAAATGTAGGTTGTTGAATATGGAAAAAAATAAATAAAACATCACCTGAAAATAAGCCCTTATGCATTTTTTGAGCAAAAATTAATATAAGGACCCTGTCTTTTTTTGGGGGGGCAAACACGGTATATGTATAAGCAATTTCCTCAAGAATTCCCCATATCTAAGCAGACTAGTAAAAAATAATCAGACAATAGTAAAAAGAAGAAACAATCAAAAGTGCTCAAAAACTTGACATGAAAGTGTGGGTTTATTATCGGTGAAAAGTAAAATAGTTTTAACAGACTAAACTGTAGAAAACAGCCTTTCTCAAACTCATGGCTGAGGAGAGAGCTCAACATAATGTCTGTTTTACAAGATGAAGAACACATAACAAGAACTAACTGTAAAACAAATTGCCTCGGCATGAAAAAAGGGAAGCCCTGAGTGATCAGCAAGGAACGAGAGCTTATTAGTAAATGAGGGAGTGACAGAGCAGATATCCCTAGGCTGTGGCAGAAGATAAGCATGTCCCTTATTTGCAAATGCTATACAGTAAGTATTTAGATACAAGTATCCTGAAAAGTATAGAATGTTTGAAAGAAGCATAAGAACATAAGAGCCCTGTGCTGGATCAGGCCAAGGGCCCCTCTTAGTCCAGCTCCCTGTATCTCTTGGTGGCCCCACCAGATGCCTCTGAGAGCACAGGAGGCCACTCTTTCTCTGTGTCTGGCCTTTGGAGGTCCCTTCCTTCTAAGCCTGGAGACTGTACATCCCTCGTGGTTTGTCACCTGCAATGGACTTTTTCCTCCAGGAATCTGTCCAATCCCCTTTTAAAGGCATCCAGGCCAGATTCCATCACCACATCCTGTGGCAAGGAGTTCCACAGGTTACCAACACACTGGGTCAAGAAATCTTTTCTTTGGTCCTCGCCCTCCCAACACTCCATTGGATTGGCTGTATTTTCATGGTTTGATAGAGGAGTATGCAAAGTGAGGTTAGTTGTAACACATTTGGATAGCATTGGTCTAGAGTAGACATGGTCTAGAGGGGTGGGGTATAAATTTAATAAATAAATAAATAAATAAATTTTAAAAATTTGATCTAGGATCCACTGGTTTGTCTTTCTAGAAATCCAGAATACCCACAAAGCTCTCCTCCAGCACCACATTTCAAACAAATCATCTTCTCCCACCCCAGGTCAATTTTTTTTAACTCTCCAGTTTTCACACCCCTACAAGGTGATCAGAAATATAAGAACATGGATGGTCTTGGTTTCCAGTTTTCAAGTTCCTTCATTGCTGCCTGTCTTAGTCCCAGGAGGAAAGCATCTCAGGACCAGGATTCACAAGAGGTAGAGTTTCAAGACCACGTGGCCATGCATATTTTGGACCATGAGGGATGGTAAGATGCCACATGACCATGGCCAGCCCTGCCCTCCCATCAGTTTCAATCACAGATCCTTACATTTGCATATGGCTGCCCTAACTGAGCCCCACTGTCATCCCACCTACCTCAGCCTTCTGGCTCATGATTCGGCGAGCAGTTTTAAACCATCCCACTCTCATCCCAGCCTTCTTGGTCCCTTTTCACTAGCACCCTGCCCACCTCAGCCCTCATGAGTTGTGATTGGAGAGCCAGCTTGGGCCGCTCCTGCTGTCAACTCTTTTCCCCCAGCTCATGAGTGGGTAGCAGTGCCTTCTGCATTTATCTTCACTCCTCACCCCGCAAGCCCTACTTGGAGGGAAGCCACAGCCTCCATTGCATCCCTTCCCTTGACCTTATGACTGAGAATTGGGTTTGTTTCCTTCCCTTCAAGAATAGCCCTGAGCTTCCTTGTGTAATACCAAGAACAAACAAACTTGACTCAGAGTTGTTGTAGATGGCATTTCATTGAGCAAGTTCGAAGGGAAGGCGCTTGGACAATAGCGTGCTTGGCCTTCGCTATCACCTTGCAAATGCACCCTTGTATGTTGGACAGTGATGTATGGAAGTGAGAGCTGGACCATAAAGAAGGCTGACCGCCGAAGAATTGATGCTTTTGAATTGTGGTGCTGGAGGAGGCTCTTGAGAGTCCCCTGGACTGCAAGGAGAACAAACCTATCCGTTCTGAAGGAAATCAACCCTGAGTGCTCACTGGAAGGACAGATCCTGAAGTGACCCCATGGACCAGAGCACGTCAAATGTGAAGACAAATGGCCACCCAATCATGGGCTGGGGAAATGGGTTGACAGTGGGAGGAGGTGATGGTGGCTGTCCAGTCATGACTCATGAGGCTGAGAGAGCTGGGATTGTTACCCAATTTTCTGGTGGCCTGTTTGGGGATCAAAGCTGACCTTTGTCTTTCATTAAATAACAGAATCCGAACCTAGACTTTTGGTCTTGGATTGAGAGAATGTATTTTGCTCCTCCCAAAGATGCTCTTTTTGGGCCTATTACATCTATTGACACTAAGTCTAGAATGTTGCCAACTTTTATGTTACTATGTTTCTTTACAGTAGCACATTTACTTTTTGCTTCTTGACAGGCTTGGCAATTAATGTATTTCTCACTTTGCCTTAAATTCACTCCAGTTGAATTCTCTATTGTTTTACGTAATGCCTTATAATTTGCATGTCCCAACCTTAAATGCCACAAATGTATGCATTCTTTATGAGGATTTACATTCTCATAGACATTGTTTGCCTTAACACTACTCAATCTACATAGGTTGTTTCTTACATGGCATGTTAGCTTTTCATTCTTATTTCCATTAATTACACACTTATTCCTATAGAATGGGCTTGTAAATCCCTCTTTTGCTAATTGGCTAACTGACAATAAATTGTGTTTTAACTTTGGCACATATAACACCCCTATTGGCATCTTTAGACATGGTAATTTTACTTTACCCATGATTTTTGCACTTACTCCATCAGCCAACATTACTTGCTGATCACATACTGCCTTAAAATTGGATATCAGCTTTTTATCTTTGTACATGTTAGCTGTTGCCCCTGAGTCTAGTATCCATTCTTCTACTTGGTGGTTGTTGTAAATAGTCTTTGACAGGTTTGTTGCGATTTTCTCACGTCATGGTTTTCTTTCCTTCTTCTTACTTACTTACTTACTTACTTACTTACTTACTTACTTACTTATTTATTTATTTATTTATTTATTTATTTGATTTATATTCCGCCCATCTGGTCTGGTCAACCACTCCATGGGGCCCAAAGGCCAGACTCCAGAGGCCCAACAAACCAAAGTGGCCCAATAGTGTTACTGGGGCCCCCAGCACTTTTTAAAAAAAATTTATCAGTTAGACCAGTGGTTCTTAACCTTTGTTACTCGGATGTTTTTGAACTGCAACTCCCAGAAACCCCAGCCAGCACAGTTGGTGGTGAAGGCTTCTGGGAGTTGCAGTCCAAAACTCCTGAGTAACCCAAGGTTAAGAACCCGTGTACTAGAGTCAACCTGATTGTTGCAAGTGCTTTAGCATTTTGCTTCTTAGTTCTATGTTTCAGCACAGCTGGTGGATTCTCTACAATGTCCCATAGTAATTCCTTCTGGAGTAATAACTGGACTTTCTGCTGCCAGGTGGAGTAGTTATCTCCATTCAGCTTCCTTATAGATAGTCCTGACATTTGCAGCTCACTTGCCATTTTTCACAGACTGCAGGACAAAGCTGTTCTACTCACTTCTGCTACTTGGACACCTCTTGGCTCTTCCTTCTGGATTTTTCTGGTCAGCAATCTCACTGGTATCTTCCTGGGTGTGTCCCTTGGCGCACACCTGGGCCCATAACCATTGACAGAGTTAGCGGTATTACCAGGGTTACCCCAGGAGGTGATAACCACCAGAGCTTCCCAGTGATGTGAAGAAACAAGCACCAAACAGTCTTGATAGCAGAATACTTGTATTATATACAGGATATGTACAGGTATATACACAGCGTAGTTTTGTTCCAGTTCCAAATGTCATACACTGCAGTTCCACAGAGTACAGAGCGTAAATCAATGTCAGAGTTCAGTAAATAGTCAATTTCAATATACCATGCAGTCAGTCCGGTTCGCCAGAGTTCCTCTTCTCCCAAGCTCGCAGATACGGCTTCCACAGGATTCTCCAGCACGACGACAGCACTCCACGACCAACAGCAACACCTCTCACAACCCAAAATCGTGTCTGCTTGGTCTCCTAGCTTTATCCCAGGGATAGCCAATCCTGGGATTGTTCATACTGCTGATACGATCAGCTCAGCTGCATTAACTCATGCTTAGCTTTACTTTACACTCTGATTCTGACAATACTCAGATCATGATGCCAAAACTGCATTTAACAATTTCTCTCCAGGTTTAGCCCAAACCTGTCACATTAGCCTATAGTCTTGGAAGGTGGCGGCAGCCGGAGGTTGGTTGAAAAAAGTGGAGGCGGCCGGCCCATCTCTTTGGGTCATAGTCCCGAGTTCTACGCCTTGAAGGGGTCAAGAGACTCAACTCTCAGGCTCAAGGCTCGGGACTTGGGACCAAAGACTTGCCAACAGCCCTGGTAAAAATATAAAGAACAATAAATAATGTGGCAGTCTTCAACTTTGCAAAACAGCTGCTAGCCACAGAAACCTGCTTATAAAAGGCCTCAGAACCTGCTTATAAAAGGGCTACACAGGGAGGCTGGGAGTTACATGCACCCACTGCACACTGACACCCTTTGAGCATGGTGTTTTTTTCCAGATGTACAGCCTGGAACAGGTCTGAAATGTAGCCACCATCTGCAAAAAACGTAGGTTGACTTTATTTCAACTACTGGAATGGAGACTTGACTTGATAGTTTAAAACCATTCAGAATATTAAAATAATTATGAAACCTGAAGGTAAAACCACATTGATGAACGACTTCCCTGAATTCCCTACAGAGTAACAAAATTCAAGTGGACACCCATCAGTTGCAGAAGGTATTCTTTCTTTTAAATTAAATGTTCCTTTAGGACTCCTCCCCCTTTTATTAGCAATGGCAGAAGAAAAACATAGGCATGGATGAGCCCAATGTGTAGCAAAATGATTACTCGAGATGCGTGTTTAGAGGAAAGAAGTCACATTTACTTACGGTTATCAACTGTAGTTACAATCAGAGGGAAAAAAGGATAAAATGGAGAATGCTTGCTTCTCAAAGTATGGTTGGGTAAGAAGCTTTGTTATGTAATCAGATGATGTGCAAATGAAGCCTTCAGAGCACAATATTATAACGTTCCTTGGCCATTCAGCCTGTGAAGTTTGTCACAGCCAACATTCCCTTTGTAGGGTTGTGTATGCAGTGTGAGCCAGATGATCTATTTTCCACAAGAAAGCTTCTCCCTCTGGATTTCCCTCATATATTTTGCCCAAGAAGAACACGGGGAGTCCAGAATTGCTTTTTCTTCCATTTATTGAATGTGCAAGTATGATTATATGTCAGAATATAGAAATTTTGTAGGCCTGAACCTGAATAAATGTATTATTAACGAGCTGCCGTTGTGCACACATGTGTATGCTGAGTCACTCTGAAGATGATGCAATGTCTGGAAATAAGAAGACACCAGGTGCAGAGGATGAAGTCATGTGTCTTCTGATTGGACTAGAGATGCCATGTACATGTATATAAGTGAACAGTGTCTGTGTATCATTCCTCTTCTTCACCATTTGCTGCTGTGCACTATGTCCGTTTGTGTAAAGAGTTCCTGCCATGCTGATGTGATGCCTGCCTGTGAATACTTGTAAATACTGTAAATACAACCATCTTGCAAAAGAATTTGTGTCTTCAATAACTCTGTGTATTTTCCTGTTGCCAAATCCCATGACATTATATGCCTATCAAGATATTTTCGAACGTTGCCCATCTTCCAAGATATGAGCTATTCCACCCAGTCTTGCGTCGCCTACATATTTGACAGGTTTTCCCTGCACTCCCTCATCCAAGTTATTAAAAAAAAAAAAAGATTGAAGAGCACCAGACCTAGGACTGAGCCCTGTGGGCTCTCCATTTGTTATCTCCTCCCAGTTTGATAACCACTTCTGGAATATGATTCTTTCATCTTGGTCCCTTCCCTGTACTCATCTTGCAATACTAAACAAGAAAGGGCCAGCTTTTGAGTCAAAGCCAAAAAAAAAAAAGGAAGACTTTCTATGGGATGGCTTGTGGACCAGAATGGGTATGCCTCATCCTGAAACATCAGACGGGGTGCCAAAGGTTTCAACTTCATATCCTGGCTTTGAATTAGGAGGGTCACTTCTCTTCTTGCAAGTATTGGGTTTCTCATATTCTTGGGCAGTTCTTGGGGATGCTGATGGGAGCAGGGAGGACTCGGATCTGGTCAGGTTCAAGGTGTTGGTTGTTACCTATAAAGAAAGCCCTTTACGGGTTGGGGCCTCAGAACATCTTTCCCTAAGGAAAGATGTGCCACCTCATCCTCCCAAACCAGGCTCTTTCCCATTGCTTTCCAAGGGAGGCCAGGAAGACATCAACTGGAAACAGGGGTTTCTTGGTCATGGGCCCAATCCCCTTGGAACTGGCGCCCAACAAAGCGGTGTGTGTCCTCCCCTCCCTCACAATTTTCAAGATGATGCTCCAAACGAGGCTGTTTACTGAAGCCTTGGAGAGACTCCCCTCTTAATCAAGTATAGGTTGGCCATACCATCGCTTGGGTGTTTTTATATATATTCATTAGCTGTAAGCTGCTTTATTTACTCTCTTGTAGCGTATTCTTGTTTAAGATGTATTTTATTTTATCTTTGTTTCATTTGGGATGTAACCACCCGGAGCAGTGTTAACCACTAATTGGTGCAGTACACAAGTTCAATAAATAAATAAATAAAGTCCTCCTTTATTCACAGACCACCACGGTGGGAAGGTCACGGCGTTCCGTGTCTAGCTGCACTGGCCACGTGACCACGGAAACAGTCTACGAACAAACGCTGGCTCTACGGCTTGGAGACGGGGATGAGCACCGCGCCCTAGAGTCAGACACAACTGGACTAAATGTCAAGGGGGAACCTTTACCTTATTCACAGAAGGACGAATGCTGGGCCAAGAGAAAAGGCTTTAGCCCCTTAATCCTGTTGTCCCTAAAATGAAGCCATGGTACCACAAACAGATCACTCCAAAAAGGCAACTTAGAAAGTCAGGAGGAAGGATAGACACACAACAGACCCTTTCCCCCTGCCCTCCCCCACTTATTTAGACATAATCACTGTTGACGTCACGGTGTCCTGGCACCGCCTTTTAGCAACTCTCCTCCCCAAATAAGCCAACGGGACGTAGATATCAAGCAAGGCTCATCTGCAGAATGGCCACCATTGCGTTATGAAAAAGGAGGACAGACACCATCAAAGCGAAGGATGAGGACTATGGGAAAAGAGAACGTAATCTCACATCTGAGACTTCTCCAAGGCAAACAGACCCTGCTCATCCACTCATTGCGGGACATAGTTTCCAGACCTTTTTTTTAACCACCCCCCTCTGGAAACGTTTCCATCTTTTCAGCATCCTTCTTGAATCAGTCTTTTCAGAACTGGACGTAGGATCCCAAGTGAGGTCTCATTAAAAGTAAGGGGGGGCAGAAAGAAGAGCTGTACAATGGCGTTCCCGTGATGCTGACTCCATACACATATTTCAGTTGCTTCAATTTTTTTTTCTGCTGCCATCGGTGCCGGTTTAGCTTGTGGCCTGTCGATACCCCTCAAATGCTTCTCTTCACATCAATCCAATGGACCTTTAGATATCACATTTTTCCCACTGCCTAATCCATGTAGGCTGTTGCCTTCTTCTTGGTATTTTTCTCTTGAGTTATGAGTAGGAATTCCTGCTCTTGGGTGCTATTTTTAAAAAGCCATGACAATGAAAGAGAAGGAAGATCTCTGGTGAAGCAGAAAAGGGAGAGAACAAAGAAGGGCTGGAGGGAGGAAGGGAGAGGATGAAGATGACAGAGAGAGGTGATGAACAGAAGGCATAAAGGAAGGATGTATAAGAGAGGGGGTGAGGAGGCAATTCCTGTTTTACTGAACCCCACAAATGATTATACAGATGTTGGGGAGGTGTGTCCCCTCTGGTGCCCTTCCTGCCCATTGAACTTCTGCCTGGGGGACTCAGTGTGAGTTATTTGATGTTGAATGTTGCACCTGTGACTGAAGCCCTTCCCACATTCCATGCATTTAAGCCATTTCTCTGCCACCTGAGTACTTCGATGGTAACTAAGGTGGCTGTTGCGCTTGAAGCTCCTCACGCATTCTATGCCTCTAAAAATATTTTCTCCCGTATAGATTCTCATGTGAGATGCAAGGATTCCAGACTCTCTGAAGCTCTTTGCCCATGCCGTGCGTTTCTAGGGTTTCTCCCCTGTGTGGGTTCGCATATGGCGAGAAAGATTTCCGCTGTGAATGAAGCCCTTTCCACATTCCAAGCATTTAAGCGGTTTCTCGTCTGTATGGATCCTCATGTGAGATGCAAGGCCTTGTGTGTCCCTGAAGCCCTTTCCACATTCCACACATTTAAAGCTGTGGATTTTCATGTGGCATGCAAGGTTTCTGAAGTGACTGAAACCTTTCCCACACAACAAGCATTTCAGTTGCGTCTCCCCCCTGTGGATCCGCAGATGGGAAGAAAGATCTCCACTGTAACCGAAGCTCTTCCCGCATTCCAAACACTTAAAGACTTCCTCTGCCGTGTGAATTTTTTTGTGGCAAACCAGGCTTCTCCTGTCACAGAAGCTCTTTCCACAGTCCAGGCACTTATACGTTTTTTCTCTCGTGTGGATTCTCATGTGCAAAGCAAGGCCGTATGTGTCCCTGAAGCTCTTTCCACATTCCAAACATTTAAAGTTATGGATCCTCATGTGAGATGCAAGATTTCCAAATTGATTGAAATTCTCCCCGCATAACAAGCATTTCAACTGTGTCTCCCCGGTGAGAATTCTCTCATGGGAAGAACGATCTCCAGTCTGACTGGAGGCCGTTTCCCCTTCCAGATATTGCGACGGCTTCTTTGCCACATGGAATTGGTGATCGGAAGGAAGCCTGCTTCTAACCTTGAAGCTTCTGTCGTTTTTAAAAGGTTCTTTCCTCTTCTTCTCTTTGTCGGCTCCCAAGCATACTGTAGTTTCTTCATTCTCACGCCCCTCCTCTCTCATGCGAGTGGCTAAAAGGGGGGGAAAAACTAAAATGAAAAGTCCAGGCATGAGAATTAATGTTATGCAGCAGATTAGAAGGGGAAGAAAAGTATTTATTTATTTAAAGGAGGACCCCCGTATCCTTGGGATCAGTATACATTGATTCACCGTCTGAAGATGTTAAAAATATTTAAATAAAAATATCCAGCAGAAACTATTTTCGCATGTATTCTCAGAACCAGCTACTAGAGGGAGGCTTTGTTGTTAGTGGTATCTGGTGCACTCTATTGGCCAGTTCTGGTAATGCACGTGAAAATGATTTCTCTCTCTCTCTCTCTCTCTATTTTACCAGGCTATATATATAGTGTTCTCTATTATCAGCATTTTCCATATCCATGGGGGACTTGGAGCCCATCTACAGTGGATACGGGGGGTGGGGGTGGTCCTATCGTATGTAATTATTTGATTGTCTTATTTATATGTTGGCTTTCCCCGGTTAGGGGACTCAAGCCTGCTCGTGACGTTTATTCTTTGATTTGCTTTGTAAAAAAAAAAATGAAACAAAGAGGCGGAAAGACAAAACTTACCCAGAGAGATCAGAGTGGCTATATTTTCCTCCATGATGTCTCGGTGCAGAGCCCTCTCGTCTTCGTCTAGCAGAGTCCACTCCTCCTCCGTGAAATGGACAGCAATATCCTCAAAGGTCATCATGACACCCTGAGAGAAGAGAAAAATGTTTCAGCTTCAAGGAGAAAGTCCACTGCTATTCCTTGCTACAAATCACAATTATCCGCCATCAAGTAAACTCTTTCCAGGGCTTTCCAGCAAGATAATACAGTAGGAGCCCATATCCATGGTGGAATCTGTCAGTTATTGGTCTCATAAATGAGATCAAAAACCACGAAACAGGAAAATCCAGGCTTCCTTCACTCCGGATTGAAGTGAACTGCTTGAGTCAAACACAGTCCCGGGACATGAACTCTTGGAGAACCTGCATTTAAGGCTGTTTCGATTTTACTAAAAAGAAACCACTTAATACCGTATCTTTACTGTTCAACGACTCAATCTTGGTAACGTAAGGCCAAATTCATTATCTATAGGGAAACTGTTCTGTTCAAAGGACTAGAAAGGCCAATTATTAAACAACATGAGTTTATTTAAGTGAACAAAGAAAACATTTCTCTACAGTTTCATTTCTAAACAACAGCATAACGTTTCAGCACCTTCTATAAAAATTAACTATTAAACAAAACAAAATCTAAACTATAAACTAAGGTAAACAAACGATATTCTTACGCAGTCCATATTGTTAAATCAGGTTCCTTCGCCATGTTTTCAGATACCCAAAACTCTCTTCTTCCTTTCTCTCTCTCTCTGAGTTCCTTTTTCCAACCTCCTGTAAATTTCTCCAACCTGCCCCTTCCTGACATATTCGACCAATCACGAAGGAAGGAATTAGCATAGGGTACGCCCTACTTTCCCACCAACACCAAAGAATTGTTTATAATTCAGGTTAGAAATATTTTGACTCTGCTGTGTTTTTCTCTCCAGCTACAGCGATAAGGTTGGCGACATGAAGCTGAAAATAACTACTAGTAATTTTCCAGAAATTAGCCTGTGACAGACTCAAAATGGATTTCTCTATGGTTAAAACATGACTACATAACCCATCTCTAATTAGAAAAATACACTTCATCACAGAATCAGTTCTGGGTCCTCCTGCAGATGCGGAAAAACATGGATTATAACAAATGCTATTATAACATTGAACGCTACACATAGCGTGGTCTCTGGATCCCTCTCGCGGCCAGTTCTTGGAATGACATCCTTAGAAATGTATATATTTTAAGAGTTTTGTTTTAAAACATTTACTATTTTCAGATTAGGGGGATAAGTGGATCAGTGGATACTGATCCTGTGGATAACAGGGTCCTATTGTACTCATAGGTGTAGCATGGCCCAAAGCCACCAAGGCTGGCTCCCTCCTCCAGGCACAGGAGGGAACTGAACTCCCACCCTCTGCAGCTAGAGACCTAACACGGGGGACTATCCACGTTCTATACAGTGGTGCCTCACTTAACAATTACCTCGTTAAACAACGAATCCACTTGAGGTTTTTGCGATTGCTTTTGCGATCACAAAATGATTTTTAATAGGCAAAATTTGCTTCCTGCTTATCAGTTCCCTGCTTCAGGAACTGATTCTTCGCATTAGGACGATCAAAACAGCTGATCGTCAGGTTTCAAAATGGCCGCCCGCTGTGTAAAATGGCTCCCCGCTGTGCTTTAGGATGGATTTTTTCACTGCATAGGCATCGGAAAATGGCTGCCCTATGGAGGATCTTTGCTTGACACTGAGGTATTTAGCCCATTGGAACACATTGAGTGGTTTTCAATGCATTTCAATGGGCTTTTTAATTCCGCTTGACGAGGATTTCGCTCTACAGCGATTTCGCTGGAACGGATTATCCTCGTCAAGCAAGGCACCACTGTATTCTAAAGAAGAAAAATGATCAATCCATATGACAAATGCTGAAACTCAAGCCATCCCCGACAGGATTCTCAACTTCCTTAACAGAGAACATGGGGAAAACAAGAAACCAGGCAGGACAGCTACCTTCAATTTCTGAGACATTCCAGAGGGAGAAAAGCATCCGGCGCTGTTCCACTGACTTGTTTTCATCAGATCTGGTGGCACAGACGTTCTTTCCACTTTCCCAAAAAGTAGAGGTAAGGAAGGGTGTCTTTCCAGCATTATTCCAATACCTGGAAGGAAGATCAAGAGAATGCAGAAATATTTCATTTTTAATATATAGACTTTATTGTTGTAAGGGGGGGAAAAGAACTCTGTTTTGACTAACCAAGACTTTGAGTTCTATGTACATGGAATAAAATGGGCTCAGACACTGTTATCTGTAAGAAGGAATGATGGGAGGAGAGCTAAGATTGTCCCTATCTTCAAAAAAAGGCAAAAAAGAGGAACTTGGGAACTACAGGCCAGTCAGCCTGAGGCCAATCCGAGGAAAAATATCTGGAATAAATTATAACATGAAAGATAGTCATATAGAGGAGGGGCACGATCTGTTCTTGATCATCCCAGAGCACAGGACACACAACAATGGGCTCAAGTTACAGGAAGTCAGATTTCTGCTGAATATCAGGAAAAACTTCCTAACAGTTAGAGCAGTACGACAGCGGAACCGGTTACCTCAGGAGTTGGTGAATGCTCCAACACTAGAGGCATTCAAGAAAAACTAAGATCGTCACCTGGCAGATATGCTTTGATGGTATTCCTGCCTTGAGCAGGGGGTTGGAATCGATGGACTTATAGGCCCTTTCCAACTCCACTAATTCTATCATTCTATGAATGAGAGACGGATTCTGTCGAAGTCGAGAGGGACCCATCCACTCCTCTCACCTCTCTGAAGTAAACAACAAAGTCCAATGATCCACAATAAGGCATCAGACGAGAAGGGGGCAAAATTGCTTTGCCCCGGGTGTTGTGAGAATCGATTCAGTACATCCTCTGCCCCTCGGAATGAGCAGGACAAAAAGCGCTCGGCGCCATCACCAGCTTTTCTGGCTCCTCAGCTTTGCTCAGGAGGAATCCTTCTGCAGGGACACCAGCTGGAAAGTGATTTTTGACACACACATACAAATACACATCCCTCACCTTTTCAGGGGAAGGACAGCCAAGAACTGTTGGAGGATGATTGAATCCAGGATCTCAATTTGTCTCAAGAGCTGGGGTTGTGCCTGTGAGGTGGGACTATCCACCTCGAGGCATCTTTCTTTAGGTCTTTCCCAGAATTTCACCCTCCTTCTTATCGACACGTCCTTGAGTTCTTTTCTGGCTCAAAGACCGCCTGAGATTTCCCCCTTTTCCTTTCCAATTGCTGGTGCCTTCAAAGCACACCTATACATGTCTCCAGCTGATTTTTTTGGGAGTGGCTTCCATCATTAAAACGTAGAGTGCAGTTTGTTTATTAATTAAATTTATACCCTGCCCATCTAGACACTTGTCTACTCTGGGCGGCGAACAATAAAAATAGAATAAAAACAGTATAATAAAAGAAAAAACAACAGTAATACAAGATGGGGAAAAAATAATCAAGCGATGAGAGGAGGGAAAGCCGGCCTAAAGAGTGAGGTCTTAAGTTGGCTCTCAAAAGTTTAAGTTTCCTTTAAATGGCCAGAAGAGTGTGGTTCCTTTAAAATCTCTACTGACTAGTTTTTAGCCAATGAATTGTCCATCACACAGTCCTGACACAACCAAAACGCCTAAGTCTTCTTCACTTTACTTCACAGAGAAGGATGTGAGCAGAATTCAGTCACAAAAATCTATTCACCAAGGCTGATCCTATGGATGACAGAGCATTTCTCTTACTCAGAGATGCCGCATGGGTCAAAATCTCCTTCATGACTTCCGTGTGCAGAGCCCTTTGGCCAGGATCCAGCAGAGCCCACTCCTCCTCCGAGAAATCCACAGCCAGCTCCTCCAGAGCCTCTGCAACCTGACAGGAAAAAGGAGAAAAACTTGATTCTCACAGAATTCCTCAGTATTTTATGTTTCATTGGCTCAGAGTATAGGGTTCACCCCTTCAATTCTAATAGGAGAAGCCTTTCTCTCAATCTCACCATCTTGACAGGAACATTTGGTGAGGACACAGGGTCTTCCCTGTGGCTGCTCCCAGAGACTCTGGAACTCCCTCCCACTGGAGGCTGGACTGGCCCTATCTTGGCTGTCCTTCCAGAAGCAGACAAAGACTTTTCTCTTCAGACCAACATTCCCTCAGTGACTTGCTCCAAGTGGGGTTTTTTTTTAATGCATTGTTGTACCTTAATGCTTCAGTGTATTTTGGTGTAGCTTATGTTTTTTTTTTTTAATGGATTGTTGTACCTTAATGCCTTCAGTGTAATTTGGTGTAGCTTATGGTTTTTTTTTTTGAGTGCTCACTGGAAGGACAGATCCTGAAGCTGAGGCTCCAATACTTTGGCCATCTCATGAGAAGAGGAGACTCCCTGGAAAAGACCCTGATGTTGGGAAAGTGTGAAGGCAAGAGGAGAAGGGGACGACAGAGGACGAGATGGCTGGATAGTGTCATCGAAGCGACCAACATGAATTTGACCCAACTCCGGGAGGCAGTGGAAGACAGGAAGGCCTGGCGTGCTCTGGTCCATGGGGTCACGAAGACTCGGGCACGACTGAATGACTAAATAACAACAATGTTTTTTGCGCAGGATTTGTTTCATCCTTTCTCATATTTGTATACTCACTGTTGTTAGATTTAATACTTTCTTTTAATTATGCAAGCCACCATGGGTCCTTTTGAGGAGAAAGGCAGGATGAAAATAGATAGATAGATAGATAGATAGACAGACAGACAGACAGACAGACAGACAGACAGACCTAGCCTTCCTGGGGTGTAGCTTAAACAGAAGCAAGTGGAAAGAAGATTCCTTTAGGGATAAAGAAAGTGAAGGAGGAGGAGAATAAGCACCCAGCCTCCTCTCCTCATTCCTTCTCCCTTACCTGCTCTGGCTTCATGGACCTCGTCTCCATTCCTCCAGGCAGAAGAGATGAAGGACAATGTATTCTCAGATGATTTCCAGGGTCTGTAAAGAGATAAAGATGTGGTGGATTGGGGTGGGGGAGTTTATTTTTCACGTCCTTTTCCTCCTTTCCTTGTTAAAACAACGGCAACTGTCTCTCTTCCTGTTTCGATCTGGGTGGGTGCAAATTTCATTCCCTTCTTCGAGGTGGAGAAGAGAAAAGAGGGAGACTCAGGAGATACTCTAGAAGAGGGACAGCCAGGAGCAGGATGATGACGAGTTCCTTACCTGGGACACCGGCTCTTGCTCCCTTTTCCTCCGTCTTCTTCAGGAGGAGAGGCCTCCGTCTTGGGCGGACTGACTCGGAGGTGATCCATTCTGAAGACCCCTGAAGGTGAGAGGAAACTGTGACCCAGGAAAGGAGAAACGAAAAGTACAGGAAAGATGCCACTGGTTTAGGAACAACGAGGACCACGCTTTGGTGGGACCATTTACACGAAAGAGCGGGCACCCACTGGGCCCCTTCTCCTCAGAGATTCTTGCGGCTTGCCTTCCCCTTCCCTGTGGCTCAAGAGAAACCCTTGGGCCAGGGAACCTATAGAGGGTTCTGCCCTATATTCTCTGACCCATCTTCCTCATGTTTGGTGGCCTGAAAGCTGGTTGGAGGATGATGGAATGAAGCATCCCAACCATGCCATGATTCCCTGCCTTCGACCCCTGGAAACCGCTTGGGGCCAAGATCTTAGGCAAAGTTAGGCGGCCAGCAGGGCTATCTGAACTGGGATTCACCTCCCGGTGGTGGTGGTGGGAGGCCTTTAACTCAGTCAAAGGTGCACAGCCCTCCACCATTAAGCTTTTGGCCGTCTTTCTTCACCGGGGTGGAATATTTGTACAGTGGTGCCTTGCATAGCGATCGCTCCGTTTAGCGACAAAATCGCTTTGCGCCAAAGATTTTGCGATTGCTTTTGTGATCGCTTTGCGATGGGGTATTTTCGCTTTGCGATGACCCATCATCACAAAGCGACCATTTTCGCATAGCTGATCGGCGGTTTCAAAATGGCCACCGGGGAAAAAACATGGCCGGCCGCCGTTTTCTGGGACAGATTCCTCGCTTAAGAGTCATCAGGAATGGCCACGCTATGGAGGATCTTCACTGAACCGTGAGTTTTAAGCCCATAGGAACGCATTAATCGCATTTAATGCGTTTCTATGGGCTTTTTTATTTCGCATTGCGACGTTATCGTTCAACAGCAATTTCGCTGGCACGAATTAACATCGCAATGCGAGGCACCACTGTACTTTGTCTTCTGTGTGGCCTGCTTTAACCCACGTACAATACCCAAGGTCGCTAAGCTAGGAAATCAAAGTGCAAATTGAACAAAATGATTTTAAAAAATAATCATTGTGTGCCGTCAAGTGAATTCCAACTGCTGGCCACCTTTTCTAGGGGTTTTGGGTTAGACAATACTCAGAAGTGGGTTTCCCCTTTCCTTCTTTTGGGGAAGCCCTCGGTCTGTTCAACTTGCCCAAAGGCGCTCTTCTGGGAACTGAACTCCCAAAAGTTGCAACCCGAGACCTGAAAACAATAAAAGGCATGCCCTTTCTTTACACTTCTCACACACTGAGGGATCCCTACGTTGAGGCACTTCCTGGGCCTGCCCCGAGCTCTCACAGGGCGTGTTGGGAGCCTCGGACCCTCCTGGCTGCCGAACCTCCCGAAATGCCGGCGTTGGACAGCGGAACTGGGAGAGTCCCCATCAGGGTTCATCTGGGCTGTTCTTCCCGGGACTTCCTTTCGACTCCAGACCTCCATGTTGTCCAGATGTTTTCAACTTCAGTCTTCCACGTCCATCTCCTGGAAAGGAACAGAAATGAATGGGCAACGGCCCTCTCTCTCTCTCTCTCTAAAAGGCAGACAAAGAGAAAGACGAAGATGAAAGGCAAGCGTTGCGAACATTCGGTCACGTCACAAAAAAAAGATCCCGTAGGTGGATCCCAGGGGCCTCCCTCACGGCAACGATGAGAGCTGCGATTCCCCACCTGGGGTCCCCCAAATGGTCCTGGACTACAACTCCCAGAAATCCTGGACAGTGCAGCTAAGAAGCGATGGCTTCTGTCGTCTGAGGTCCTCTCGGGACCTAAAGTGGGGAACCATGGGGTTAGAAGAGGATGGGAGGAGAGGAGGAAGGGTAGACTGCTCTTAGCCCCTCCCCTAAACTCAGCCCCACCCACTCTTGAGGCTCCTCCCCTTCCCTCTGTGCTCTCTTTCCCTCCCTTTCCCTGGGAAAGACGGTGGAAGATTGAAGTCCCAGAGGAAGCCAAGGAAAGGGAAAGGGAGGAATGTCTGGGCTCTCCCAGGGACTCCCCACCAGTCAAACCCCCCACTTTCCCCTACAAGCCGACCCAAGCACCTCCAGCTTCCCCACTTTCTAGCTTCCGAAGAGGCACCTTCAGCAGAGGAAGGAAGGAAATTTGCAAATCACTTGATTTTTTCAAAAAAGCTTCACCTAAGCTTGCAAATCACTTGGTCTGTTCATTTCTTTAAACTTATACCTCTCCCACCTGCTTTGGGGGGGCTCCCAAGGGAAGGACCGAAACATGCAAGGAGAATTAAGATAAGCAACATATAAAACTTTTTTTAAAAAACCCTCATCAAACCTCTCCAGTCCAGCAAATATTCTGAGCCTCTGGAGCGCGAACCCCTGGCAGAGGGAAAACTGCAAGAAAATTAATATTACAAAGGGGGTCGGGCTTGCAAAGCCAGGGTTCCACTTGCTTGCAAAAGCGCAGGACACCCAAAAAAGGGCATCATCCACTCCTCCCCGAGGTCTTACCTTTGTGTCCTGGGAATCCCACGACCTTTCTCTGCTCCCTTCCCTGTCTGCAGGTGTATGTCTGCAAGGGAGGGACGCTCTAGGAATCCAGTTGCCTCTCGTCGGCTTCCTGAGGAGACTGTCTAGGACAAATGCTTTCCCTGGTCTCTCCGACTCTCCCCCTTTTACGTAATGCGTGGGATGACTTTCTAGGAACAAGGCGGCCCTGCCTCTCTTGGGCCACCTCTTACGTCCTTCCGGGGAGGACCCTCTAGGAAGGGAGAAGCCCGACGGCCCCCCGCCTCTTCTATGATTCGGTATGCGGACGTTCTAGGAACGCAGAGCATAGAGTGTGGCCGCGTAGGATTTTCAATGAATTGTTGTTCTTCCTTTTAAGTGCCATTAAGTCACACACACACCCCGAACTTATGGTGATCCTGTGGACGTGAGATCTCCACAATGGCCCATCCTCCACAGCCCTGCTCAGCCACTAGAAACTCAAGCCTGTGGGTTCTTTGAGGGAGTCTGTCCATCGCACACCTGGTCTTCCTCTTTTCCTGCTGACTTCCATTTTTTACCCTTATACTTGCTAAAATAATGTGGATGGAGTCATTTCCAAACAAATCAAGGGAAACAGAGAAGCCAGGATCCTGTTTGGGCTTAACAGCAGACAGTCCCCGTCTTCCTGCCACGTGTAGAAAAACATTTATCTCCTAAAACTCTTGTTAGGTGCAAAGTCACACGGGGCTTATAGCGACCCTAAAAGGACTTTCAAGTTAATTGAGATATTTTAAGGATATTTTAACTGTTCCACACCCTGATGGGGTTTCCCATGCCAGATTGGATCCAGGTTCCTGAGTCCTCGTCCATCACTCTTATTGATCTAAAATGTTTTTTTTAAACTCCAGCTTTGTCCTAAAAATAAGAACTCAAAGCAGCTTTCCTCATTAAAACACCACATTAAAAGCTAAAAACAGCAAACAACTAAAATATGTAAAAAGAATTAAACAGTATATGAAACGGGTTAGATAAAAGCACGACTAAAATGATTTTAAACCAACAGAAATAAAACAAAACAAGCCTTCGAGAATACATTAAAATAAATCTCATTGGAAAAGCTCTGTTCGATAGCAGGTCACTAAGGAAAAAGCCTCCCTGAAAAGACAGACCGGTCTTGGTCTGTTAAGGAAAAAGCCTCCCTGAAAAGACAGACTGGTCTTGGTCTGCTTGCGGAAGGACGGCAAAGATGGGGCCGGCTTGACCTCCAGTGGCAGGGGGTTCCAGAGTCTCTGGGAGCTGCCACTGAGAAGGCCCTGTCTTGTGCCCCACCAATCCCACCTGGGAAGAGGGCAGGACGGAGAGAATGTTTGAAAGATCTTAACACCAGGGAGGCTCATAGTGGCAGAGGCAGTCCTTGAGAAAGCTTGGATAGAAGATGTTTAGGACTTTATGGGTGAATGTGGGGGGTTCGAGTTTGGGCTCCCAATTCAATTCCAAGAAATCGGTAGATCTTTGTTGTTTCAAAACAGGTGTGGGATTTATTGGGGGATTAAACAATGACAAAGTTCTGGATCCCATTACTTAGCACCCATTGGCTTCAATCCTGTGTCGTAAATCTCAGGGGTGATTTGTCGCTGGTTAAGTTGCTGGTGCTTGTATATCTTGTCTTGCACTAGTCGTGTGACTTGACACAAGACAGGAAATACAAGCGACATCTTCTTAGTGGTGGGGAATTCGCTGCTGATATTTACCCTGCTGGATTTGAACGTAAGCCATATAGGATTTGAATGCGAATTTGGCCAACCTCTGCATTTGATCCCAACAATTCGGACCGGTGGCTCAAGGTTCCCTACGCTTCCTCTCCTTCCGAAGTCGGTAAATTGAATACCCAGCTGGCTTGGGGGTTGGCCGTGTGTCGCCTACTTAACAAAGTTAAAAATGACTCAAGAGAGAGTTTGAAACAGTATGGGGTGGTGTATAAGCAGCACTCCTTGCTTTACTTTGGTCTTCCACGTCATCCAGTTTTCTGTGTGAGAGGAGCTAGATTTTCCTGGGTTTGCGTCCCTTTTAAAAAGGGGGTCTTGATGGTCCTGCCACGGCTAAAATGCAGTTCTGTGTTCAAGACTCTGCTCACGACCTGAGTTCAACCTGAACGGATTCAGGTAGCCAGCTTGAGATTGACTCACCCTTTCCATCCTTCCGAGGTCGGTAAATTAAAGTTCCTGGGAGGGAAGGGAGGGAGCCCACAAAATTAATGTGTAAACTGCCCAGAAAGTCCTCTAAGTGCGATTTTTACATAGTTTATCTTCTGTTCTTTCAAGAACCTCGGATGTTCTGGAAAAAACATTTCCCCTTAATTTTAATCTGGGAGCCGCGGATGTGCCTTCGATGTAGACGAGATCACGATGTGGCTGAGGTAACCCTGGTGTTTTGTTTTTTTAAACTTTAACCTTTAAAATTGTTTAATTTTTTTTTAAGTTTAAATTTTTACAACTTTAAATGCTGGTGTTTTTTAAAAATTTTTTAAAACTTTTCTATGGGGGGGGGTCAGGCCGCCTATGGCTTCCTGGAGTTTTTTCGTGAAAGAAAGGCACAGCAAATCCAGTGCCATCAAGGTGAAGCAGCCTCTGGGTTTAGGGTTCGAGAGACGACCTATTTCCCATATTTCTAGAATAAGAAAGGGGGGCTACCTCAGGGCCAGATCCGGTGGGGTGGGATCGTTTTGCCCTGCAAAACAGGAGGGGGGGGGACCTTTTCTTTCTTCTTTGTCATCCCGTGTTGGCATCTTTTTCCTGCCCACCTTTTGCATTAATCCTATTTATTGAAAAATATGTGGGTTTCTCCACCTTTCTCCTTAACCAGGACCTCAGGCGGCTTGCCACACTGAAAGACAAGATCTAAGCAAATCCCAGTGAGTGCACCATCCTCAGAGGGGAGCCAGGAACCCAATACACAGAACAGAACAGAAAAATTAAGGTTTTCTTTTTTCTTCCCCAATGGCAATAGCTGTTTTTAATAGGGTTTGGAAATGGATGTGGACAAATATTTGTGTGTGTTTGGAAAGTTCTGTGTGTGAAAGCTCTCTCGCTCTGTGTGTGTGTGTGTGAGAGAGAGAGAGAGAGAGAGAGAGAGAGAGAGAGAGAGAGAGAGAGAGAGAGAGAGAGAGAGAGAGAGAGAGAGAGAGAGAGAGAGAGAGAGAGAGAGAGAGAGAGAGAGAGAGAGAGAGAGAGAGAGAGAGAGAGAGAGCAAACAGTCTGGTTAGCTTAACCTTTTCATGTTTTTTTTAGTTTTAAAACCGGAGCCGGTCCCCAAGGGTTAAAAGCACCGAGCTGTCCTTCCTAGAGAGGCCGCCCCTTGGAGG